GGACATGAATTTGAGCAAATTCCATGAGATAGTGGTGGACAGGGGTGCCCTGCATGCTGTGGTCCATGGGGTCACAAAGAGTCCAACACAACTTAGCAAGTGAAGAACAAAAATAACATTTATATACATCAGCAATGAACCTAAAAATAAAATTTAGAAAAAATTCCATTTATAGTAACATCAAAATGAATAAAATACATAGGAATATATTTAACAATAGAAAACTACATAGAAAGCTAAAAGTATTCTTGAAAAAAATAAAACCTAAAACAAAAGGAAACACACCTATTTTAATCATGTTCATTGATTAAAAGACTTATTATTGTTAAGAAACAAATGATCTGCAAATTAAATGTAATCCCTATCAAAATTCCAATTGGCTTTTTGACAGAAGTTGATATACTGAGCCTTCAATTCATATGAAAATTCAAGATACCTAGAATAGTAAAAAAAAAAAAAAATTTAAAGAGTCAAGTTAGAGGACTCACTTCCTGATTTCAAAACTTCTTACATAGTTATAATTAGACTGTAATACAGGCATAAGGATAAACATATAGATAAGTGGAATCAAATTGAGAGCCCAGAAGTAAACTTGTACATTTTTGGTCTATTAAGTCTTAACAAGGATTCCAATATAATTCAGTGGGGGAAAGAAAATTCTTTTCAATTAATGATGCTGGTATAACTGGATGCAAATAAATGAATTTTGATCTTTATCTCAAAGATCTAAACATAAGAGATAAACTTATAAAACTCTTAGAACTATAAAACACAAATCTTTGTAACACTGCATTAGGCAACAGTTTCTTAGGTAAGACATCTAAAGTGCAAGTAAAGCAAAAACAAAAAACAAAACAGAAAAACTGGATGCCATCAAATTTATGTCAAAGGACACCATCAAGAAAGTGAAAAAATAACCTGCAGAATTGGAGGAAATGTTTGCAAATCATTTATTTGGCAGGGGTCTGGTATCCAAGATGGACTTCCCTGGTGGCTCAGACGGTAAAGAATCTGCCTATAAATGCAGGAGACCCAGGTTATATTCCTGGGAGGGGAAGATCCCCTGAAGAAGGAAATGCAAACCCACGCCAGTATTCTTGCCTGGAGAATCCCATGGACAGAAGAGCCTGGCAGGCTACAGTCCATACAGTCCATGGGGTCACAAAGAGTCGGACATGACTGAGCGACTTTCGCTTTCACTTTGGTATCCAGGGTACATAAAGGACACCCAACAATTAAGACAGACAACCTAATTTAAAAATGGGCAAATGAGGGGCCTCTCTGTGGTCCAGTGGCTAGGACTCTGCGGTCCCAATTCAGGGGGTCCAGGTTCCATCCCTGAGTGAACTGGAACTCATGCTGCAACTAAGAGTTCACATGCTGCTGCAACTAAAGACTCTGCATGATCCTGTATGATGCAACCAAGACCCAGTGAGGCCAAATAAATAAAATAGATAAATATATTTTTTAAATGGGCAAATGATTTAAATAGATGTTTCTGAAAAGAAGCTATACAGTTGGTTATTAAGCACATGAAAAGATGTTCAAAATCATTAATCATTAGGGAAATGCAAATTGAAACCACAATGAGAAATCACTTCCTATCCACTAGGCTAGCTATAACAAAGACTGACAATAAGTATTACTGATGTGGTGCAATTGAAGCTTCCTGCATTGTGAGTCAGAATGTATAAAGATGTAGACACTATGTAAAATAGTTCAGCAGTTTCTTAAAACTTGAAACAAAGAGTTAGGATATGATCTGACAATTCCATTCCTAGCTGTGTGTTTGACAGACTTGAAAACATGTCCACAGAAAAACTTGTACACAAGTGTTTATTATTTATAATAGCCCAAGAATGGAAACAATCCAAATATCTTTCCAGTGACTAATGGATATATAAGATGTGGTATATCCACAGAGTAGAATATTATTCATCTATAAAAAGGGATGAATTACTGATTCATGCTAAAATATTCATGCAACATGCTAAATAGAAGTCAGACACAAAAGGCCACATAGTGTATGATTCCACTTGTATCATATATCTAAAACAGGCAAATCCTTATAGACAGAGAATAGATTAGTAGTTGCCAGGGACTTGGAGAAGGGATGATGAATGACTGCTAATAATATGGGATTATTTTGGGGGCTGATGACAACCTTGTGAATATACTAAAGACCACTGAATTGTACACTTTAAAATGGTGAACTTTATGGCATGTGAATTATATGTCAATTAAAAAAAACAAGAAGAGGGCTTCCCTTTCGGCTCAGTGGTAAAGAACCCGCCTGCCAATGCAGGAGATATAGGTTCAGTCCCTGGTCCGGGAAGATCCTACATGCCACAGAGCAACTTAAGCCCCTGTGCCACAACTACTGAGCCTGTGCTCCGGAGCCCGGGAACCCCAACTACTGAGCCCACACGCCCTAGAGCGCGTGCTCCACAGAAGCCACCACAATGAAAGCTCACGCATGGCAACGAGAGAGTAGCCTCCACTTGCCACCACGAGAGGAGAGCCTAGACAGCAACAAGGACCCAGCAGAGCCGAAAATAAATAAATTTTAAAGTAATAAGAAAGGTTTTAAAATAACATTTACAAGTACTGTTATTCCACAAGCAAATCCGTATCGTTAAATTCACAGGACAATCATCCTACACACAGACTGCTCCCAAGCCTTCTCTCCTCTTCCCACATGCTGTTTCTGGCTGTAGGTCCCTACCTTTTATCCCTGCTTCTTTGGCAGTTATGTTTCTGCTTGTGGAATCTCTCAGTAAAATTCCAGCCCTGCCTGCCTTCTCAAGCAGTCTGAACAGGAAGCTAACTTTCTGAGTTTCTAGAATTGAGCCAGCTTGCTTCTCCTTGATGGGGGTAAGCCCTGCCGTGCCATGTCATGCTAAGTCGCTTCAATCATGTCTGACTCTCTGTGACCCCATGGACTGTAGCTCACCAGACTCCCCTAGTCCATGAGATTCTCCAAGCTAGAATACTGGTGTGGGTTGCCATTTCCTTCTCCATGGTAAGCCCTAGTTACCCTCAAAATTCATTCTTTTAAAAAATAATTTTAGACTTAAAATATGTAAAATTTACTTTTAGGGTTCAAATTAAGAGACAGCACAGGTTCTAAATAGGGTTCTATCATTGTTAAGAAGTCCTTCCTCTAATGTTTTGGCTCCAAATGATAGAGTAAAAGCTATTTGATTGCATGAAATTATGGTATAGCTACTGGCATTCTACTAGCAAGCAATAATGCCAAAGAGAAAAGAAAATGGTCGTTTCAACAGAAAAACAAGAAACAAATGCAGGGAAGAGGGAGGACTCTCTCTCCTATTATAAGTTTCAGCTCTAACAGTTGTTCCTAATGATAGAGTTCAAGTATGCTCCTGAGAAGCCTACTAGTCCCAGAGTTTCTCTTAGAAATTTCTGACAATTCAGTGAGAGTTTTCAAATTTAGTTTAACATTTCAATAATCTATTTATTTTAAAGACTGGTAGTCAAGGAGGAAATAATTGACAGGCAGATTAAATGGGAGACAGGATGACCCTTGTTTTCCATAAGGGAGATCTTTGTATATATAGAGAGAATACAGAGAGGAATCAGTGAGATAGGAAAACCCAGAGGAGACAACAGGGAAGGGGTCAGATCAAGGACACAGGCAAAGGGGATATGGCAAAAACAGAGGTGACATCTGTTCCTTGGAGGCTGGAGAGAAGGACAGATGCTCGTGTGGATAAAGTAGCTCTGAAACGGTCAACAGGAATACTAAAGAGTGACTTATACCATGAACTAGTAAGCTCCTAGTTAACTTTGCTTTTGGAATATGACTTTATGTGCAAAACTAATGTCACAAATATGAAGTCACATATCCTTAGAGTGTTTTTCCATTTTAGACTTTTAAGACCTTAAAGAGCTTATGCAAAGTGACTAAAGAATCAAAATGACACAAACTATTCATCTCATGCAACATTTAGTTTCACTAGAATATTTTCATTACTTTTTGTAATTCTACAACTATTAAATGATCACAATAGAGAAGACCAATTCTCAGTTTTCAAAAGCAAAGAACTATTTTATATTCTCTGGTCTCATAGCCTGAAAGGGATGTGGGCTGACAGTCATGTTCTGGACACCACTCTCAGCTCCAGAAAGGAGCTTTGAACACTCTCAAGTCTGTCACAGCACTGTCACCCTTGGTCTCAAACACAGCACCTCACCTCCATTTAACCAATTTTGTTTAAGTGAACATTTCAAATAAATCACTGAGAAGCATTGTAGCCAATCATTTCTCGCCAGCATAAATAAGTTTTCACTTCATTAAGTGAAATTCTGATCCAAGAAGTTCTTTACTTACTAGTTTATCAGTATTTTATCAGAACTGCAAATAATTAACTCTCCTAGTTTGTTGGGGAAAAAATGAGTTTGTTGTGACTCCTACTGTTTTCAAGAGTAAAGAAAATCTATGAAACCCAACATTTATAGATGAGAATTATACTGAGGATTTGGAAGGGCCCCTTAGAAGTCTAACCCCTTTTAAAATGTGTTTATCTATTAAACTCCCACCAAATGGCAGTTCAACCTAAACCCAAACATCCCTGATTGGTGAGAATTCGCTCCCAAGTTATTAAAGAACTCTATAAAAAAGTATTTCCAAAAAATAAATGGAAAACTTTTGCCTTATGGCTTCTGCCCTCTGGTCTAGTTCTGCGCTTTCACAGGGCAACACAAAACAAGTCCAAGGCCTCTTAATGTGTCGGAGGCTGAAGACAGAAATCAAGAATAGCCTTCTAATATCTATAATTAACATCCTTGGCAAACAGCTATAACAATTATTTTGGGAAAATTGATGCACTTGCAAATTTACTTTCTAGATAGTAAGAGAACAGTTCATCTATTCTGGGGTGATAAAAACTTTCAAACTTCATCAACAGTTACAGAAAATTCTTAGCTTTCTATGTGCTACAAAGTTTAAAATAAACTAAACTTGCAAACACATCATGCTAAATACATCAAATTATTTAATTTTTTATTATGACAATTGACATATATTAAGTAAAGAAATGACAGAAGTATTATAATAAAACATTTTGAAAGAAAAAAGTTACACAATTAGGCCAGTAGCCATAAAATGGCTTTTAGGCCTATCTTATAACACCAAGAGTTCTGATCAGACTGTAGTGAGACATTGAACATTTCATTAACAAAAATATTGGCACGCGCCACAACATATTTTGGTTGTCACTTACAAGGAATATTGTATTCAAACAACTATGTACTGCAATTCTAACACACTAGGTGTTCATACACTGCAGTTAACCCCTGAAGCTTTAAGCTACCAGGAATTCCCATATTTTCTATGCACAAAATTTACTTTGTGCGTTATTGGAATCACACTTCCAGTTTTCATGTTTTCCCCCCCTTACACATGCAGTATGTCTTACGTGGCAGAGAGCATGCCAGCTTCTGTTTAGCTAATACCACATTCCTTATTACCTCAAGAGTTTTATGTTAATCTTGGAGTCTGCTTTAGCGCTCATCTCCTAGAAACAAAATAAAGCATTCTGAGAACGTATCTAGGAATATTTTTTATGCATAGGAAAATAAAGCATTTCATATAAGCATGTCTGAAAACCCAAGAGGCATTTTGATCAAACACTCCCTGGATCCTAGCTATTAGTTTAAAATGGGAATCTTACATATACCATCTACAAATTCTTATCTGGGATTTATATTCTTTGCCTGGAAATTCATGATTCCCAAGCTTCATTTCTGAATAGATGAGGACAGCAAAGAAACTGACATCCCACAGTAACTGGAAATAGATAAAGGTAACTTAGGTAGAAGTTATGAATTTAATTCTTTACAAGAATACACTTGTGCTACAAAAGTGAGAAATCAGAATGGTACATTATCAGATGACAAAAAGCACTGGTGTTTAAACAGAGGTATCAATATAACTTATCAAAAATGTGCCATGTAAAAGACTGCTATAATTAACAGCTCTATAAGATTTCAAAGTATTTATCAAATAAGAAGGGAATTTGACTTTGAATCTGATATCCCTTCCTGCCATGCCTCCAGCAGACTATTCCTGTGGAATTAAGTCTACTGAATTGAGTCTACAAGAACCAAATCGAACAATTCTAGTTTTTACTTCTTTTACAGACTGAAAAGAAACAAAGCTGTGTTCCGCTCCCAATCTCCCCATCCCAGCACAGGGTGTATGAAAAACCCCAGGCAGGTTTGGGCAAGCTACAACTCAGATACCATGATCAAGACATTACTTTCATAATAGAACACAACACCAGACCAACACTGAGAAAACCCTAGTTAAGCATCACGAAAATCACACTTTAAGAAAATATCATTAACTGCCAAATTTGAGTTATAATACCTGTTCTAAAATTGAAAATCCATTTACACTAAAATAAACTAGATCTATGTATGGATGTCTAAGTATGTGTGTGTGTATAATTTTCATGCAATGATCTTAAAGCTTTGGAGACAGGTTATTAGCCTAATTTCAAGGCTTGTCCATATAGCAGTATTGACATGCACCAGCTCTGCTAAAGGGCAGAATGAAAAAGACCATGGCACAAAATTTTAAACAATTTTAGGTTTAATTACATAATGCACCTGTAGATGTTCTAGCATAAACACAATTGTAAAAATCTACATCCTATTTTAGGGTATTTTCCACCTCCCATCCCTTAAAAGCTGTACAGTTATAAAAATGTGACTCTCAAGCAAAATAAACTTTTTTTTCTTTTGCAACATACAAAATAAGTTAAATGATTCAGAAGGTTTTGAGCCATTGTCTCCCAATAACTGTGTTCTTGGCCATCCAATAAATGTGACATGCAGTTAGCTCCTGGTCTAAGACCAGAACTCAATAAATACACGTCAAACAAAACCCCAAACACTTAAATTAGATTTCTTTAGAAACTGATGAAAGTCAAGAAAATATATAGTTAGGGCTAACAATTCCATTCTTAACTTACATCATCCAGTGGCAAAATGAACAAGGCAGGTCACTCAGTCCTTAGTGCATTTTCTAGCTTGTACCGGTTTGGCAAAAAAAACAAATGTAGTTCCTTTAAAAATGTTTTTTTTTTCCTCATTCACAATGTCTAAGGAGATTAATTAATTTCTACTTGTCTAATAATTTGTTATGCCCTCTCATATAACTTATGCATAGGATAGACATCTTAGTTATTAAAATAAAAATCTTTATTAATTGAAATCACTACAATGTGCCAGAATTGGGTTTTCAGTATTTCCCAGAGTGAAATGTTATAAATATAAAATGGAAAAAAAATTGACCTTACAAAAGCAAAATGAAAAAAAATTCACTAATAGAAATCATATTCTAATCAATTTCTGAGAGGGTTTACATGAATTTTTAAGTGGTGAGTGTACCGTCTAGGGTAGTTACATACCAAGTACACTACATTTTGGCTTATAATGACTGTTTAACTCCTGGGGAATGACTATCTTCATATATGTTACATAGTTACTTAGCAATTCTTGGCACTCAAAAAAATGTTAATGATAATTTAAGAGTGAAATATGTTGAAGACAAATTATTAAGTATACATATAACAAAATAACTCAGTTTAAATACATTGATAATAAAAGTTCTTGTCTTTCAGGATTGGTATAAAACAATGAAGTATATCAGCAGTTAGCTTGCCACTTCCAAGGTAGGATTACAGGTACACACTGGGAATGGTGGATAAAATAGGAATGGATTTTATTCTAAGGAGGTTTAATAACAGATATTAAACAGAGGACTAGGTAGATACAGAAGGTATGCAGTCTTGGCATTCTTGCTTCTTGGGAGAACCAGGATGTTAAACCAAGAAGAGGAACTTCACTATTTTTCTCTAGGCTTTCTGTAATTAAATTATGTTCATAATCTCACATCAGTTACAATTATGTTTTTTTTCGTGTCAAATAACTTCAAAGGGTTCATTTTTATTTCTAACATCTAAGATATGTATATACATATTAATTTATATATATATATATACATACATATATATGTTCATTCCATTTTAAAAAGATCTGGATTTTTGAATACTTGTCCTATAGCTGTGAGGCAATGCCATGAAATCAGGGACCTTGTTCACTGTCGGTGAAGGGCAGAGTTCACAACTTTTTCTGAATATTAAACTTGTAGATATTCAATTAGATTCCTTTCAATTGTACGGTAGGACTAGAGAATGGCTCACACCTCTTATCCCCACAAACATAGGCTAAAAAGGGATTCTTTGTGACAGAGAAAATTCCGTCAATCCCACTTAAAAATAGCTAACATTTCCCCTCTTTTTAAACTCTAAGCAGGCCTATATTTTTCTTTATATACGTTCTTTGTGTATCATGGGATGGGTTCCATCAATCGAAAAGTAAAAACTGGAGTTCGTAATGTGTTGTTAATTTGCTTAAAAATCTTTTTTCCAACAACTTCTTTAGCATTTGAAGTCCTTGATTCTTTGGCAGTCATTTAAAAAAAATCAGACATGAATTTATTCTAAATGAAACTCCTTTTTATTCTCGGAATCTGCAGCCTTGACCAACTGGAAAAAGATGTGCCAAGGAAATCCATCCTTAATAAATCAGGTATATTCTTGAAAATATCTCTGCCATCATTCTCTAGTACTGTGCCAACAACAGAAAATGTTTACACGAAACACTATTTCATCAGCACATGTCTACAAAACAAAAACATATTATTTTCAGTCTGAGTTTTCACAAATTTCAATTCAAAGTTTCTGCTTTGTGAAAATTTGGCTAGTTTTTCAACCTTTACAGAAACTGCAAACTAAATATTCTGAGTACTAAACTACATCTCTCCTTAATACATTTGCTATAGTGGAGTTTGATATTCGGAGTCTGATTTATACTTCCAAAAAGGGGTTTTAGAGTATTAAGGGGTTCTATTATTACATAGCAGCTACTGGGAGCCTAAATCCATGGTCAGTACTCTAATTACAAGAATCCAAGATGTTCTAAACCCTAGATGAATTGCTGCTTTCCTGTACAGCAGTCCTAATGTCTGAATTAGGACCGTTCCTAATGACTGAATTATGTCTTTGGATATAGAACATTCTCTTTTTCCTATATTTTGTTCTTTTTAACTTCTTCAAAGCATGTTCAGAGTTGGTATTTCAGCAAACCCAAGACTTTGAGGGACTGAATCTAAACACCAAGCAGAATTGTTTGTGAACTGTTCAACATTTCATCAGCCATGATTAACCTATCTGCATGATAATTTGTAAGAGGTGCTTGGATTGTACTCTTTGTAGATGAAGCAAAGTTAACTGGTTTAATGAGAATATAAAGGGAATTCAAAAGGAAACACTCACTATTGAGTTCACAAACACTTAATTCAAGTTTGGTAAATAACAGGCAGCAAAAGTGGCATCATAACCCATGTCAGTGAGTCATTTGCTAAATGGAATACTCAGTCTTTACTAAGATAAAAATGAACATTTTGCTGTCTATGCCAGAAGGGTAAAAAGAACTTATTTCACATTAGGTATCCTGTAAAATAAATAACCTACCCATTTAACACTTCTTGTCGTTTGCTTAACTGAAGAGAACAGGTTGAAGCAGAAGCTCGTGTGTCTGGAGGTAGAGAGAGGGATTTTCTATACCTTAGTGGCTTTACCCCGTTGCAAGACTAAAATGGTAGCAGAAGACGGGGGCGGGGGTGGTTGCACATTCTAACCACTTACCATGCATTAATAGGAATCCTTCTATTGCCTCCTGTTTTATATAGTTAAAAGGCTCACATTCTTAACTGACTTTCAAATAAATGGGACAAACCTAACCAGAAAGAAGGCCTGGTAAGTGAATGTGGCTCCTTACATAGCCCTGCTTACTGTCTGGGAATATAAGTCCTTCACTCCCTTCTGGTGGAATATTGTCTCAAAATGAAAATCACAATTTGCTTGGAACCACATGCTACTGGTGCATCCTATTTTTAGGCTGCTTTCATTATTTTATTTTTTATACAGATACATATACACTGCTAAAATCAAAGCAAAAATATTAATGGGCAGGTACTACAGAACTAAGGTGAAACAAACAAACAGGAACCAACAAGTGAAAAACAACAGCTATAAACTTTCAAGGCCAAAAGATAAGATTTAACGGCAACACCTGTGAAGGGAGGAAAAGAAAGAGTGTGAAGTTTCTAGAGGTATTTATAATGCAAGTCTAATGCCAGCTTTTTAATAATAAAAAAGAGAAGTGCTTTATTATTCACTGACTAGCACATAGAATGCTTAATTTGCAAAGAAAAATCAATGAAGTTCCTTGGGCCAGCAGCAGATATGGTGTGTCCATTGCCGGCAACAGACACAACACTTGAAACAGAAAACCCAATCCCAGGGCAAAAGTATTCACAGAAGTAATGGCTGGAAGTTTCAGAATTTGACAGGCAAGGTTTAATCACAAGTGCTACACTCTGTACAACATTATTTATGGCTCTGCCTGAAATTTTACAGCTGAAACAGAAACTAAGACAAAGTTCATATTTTAGTGTCAGTTACATGTTAGATATTTAGTTAGTTACAAACCCCTATTTTCTTGAAACAAAGGGCTTATCTTTCTTTAAAATGTTGAGATGTTTGAAATGGATATAGCTGTTAAGTATATTGGTGTTTTTCAATCAACTCTATGTTGGTCATGTGAATTAATGAATTTTAATAGAGGTCTAATGGCCAATGGCCAAAACTACATTCAAACCCTGCTAATATATCCAGGCAGATAGGAAATTCTAACACACACACATACACATATACACACACGCACGCACACACACACACACACATGCTAAAATTCAAACTAAAAACCTCCCAAAGGAACTGCTTTGTTTGTAGACTTCAATTTGAAGTAGATACTAAGGGCAAGAATAGACCAGTTAAAATTCACCTGAAAATCCTTTCCCCTTCTTCAAATGTGCTAAAATACTGCAGTCTGCTTAGCATCCATCTCTTCATGTATGTTATGTATAGGTGTATTTCTTTGAAAACGATAATTCAGATATTTAAATATTAAGTGGCCAGAAAACAAGAGTTACATTATCTGCAAAGTTTACAGTCCACTTGGGCCTTAAGAAAGACCACACTCATTTCACTAATAACTCTCCACGATGGCATATTAAAGGCCACGTCATCACCACTGCATAAAGCTGTTTAAAAAAGTTTGCTATTAGCACAACCTGGTTGTCAAAGCTTCATTATACATTTCATTATACAAATGCTTTTCAGATGATTTTTTTTAAAAACAAGAAACTCCGCTATAACAGAAACTTAGGTTACAGTTTTTTATGACGGTATCTTTTTATCGGTCTCTTCTTTTTAAGTGTGGTTATCGTCAATAGTAAACAAGTTGATTTCATGAATGCTGTTACTAAAATGACTTATGTATGATGTTATCTACAATTCTTAAATTGCAACAATACGGACTTGAACTTTTAAACAGTCTGTTAATCATCATCTATGCCATGAATGTTTAAATATAATATATATTTAATATGAAAAAGCTAAAAGCACAAGTGCTTTCTCCCACCCCTAATTCTGTTTTGGGCCCTCACAGATTTGGAATGCATTCTTATCCACCCTTTTCACAAAGTCAGGAGAGCTCAGGAAATATAAAGTCAAAAATATACAAATCTTTGTTGTTATAATAAGATTTTTTTTTCCCCATGACTGAAATTACCAAGGACCATGAACTTGGAAAAAGAAAATCAAAAGGAATTTACAGCAATTATTTATCTTCAAAGTTCAAAACTGGTCACTTCACAGAAAGACTTCAGGGTCTGTTGAAATTTTTCTTCTAAAAAGTCATTCTGTAGTGGAGTTTTCTAGGAAAAATAAAACAGCTTTTAATAACTGGCCCGCTGGTGTGAGAGCTACCGTGGAATAAATTAGCACAAAAATGGAAAAAAAGTCTTATAACTGTTCACTGTTACAGACATAATCAACAAGGTCAGTCACTCTTAAAAGCTCATCTTCATCCTCTTCGGGCGCCCCTGCCTCCTGCCCACCACTCGTCCCATTGGGGGCCAGGCTTGCACTGCCTGTGCTGCTGTCCTTGGGGGTCTGAGGCTTCTCAGCTGGCTTGCCAATCAAGTTTTCAATGGCTTTGCCTGGACTCTGTCCATTGGTGGAAGGTAGGTCCACTAAGCTATAGTCCAATGGGCTCCCCACCTTGCCTACATTTTCAAAGTCCTCTTCCTCATCACTGTCTATCCGATAGGGCTTTTTGGTGCTGTCCTGTTCTGAGGGCAGGACCCTGGGCTGGCTGTCATGGGCAAGTTGATCTGCATCTCCATGAGCATTGTCACAACTCTCCTCTTCATCTGTCTCAATCCGGTGTAGCCGTTTTCGGGATGGTTTACCTTCTTCCTCCTCATCTGCTTCGGAATACTCATCTGTGCTTCGACCCCGTTTTCGAACTGACCGCTTTGATTCTTTAGCTAGCTCATCATCTTCAGAGTTCTTGGACATATAGCTCTCTAGAATAAACAGCACATTTAAGCCATTGGCAGAGTTAACCATTAACAGATATAAGTAATCCTCTTCTTCCTCCCATATTCATCCCATGTCCTACTTTCAGACTTGCTTGTATATAAATATTTCCCTTCAGTAACTGGCCTCATTTCTCTCTCTTCTCATTCTCACAACAATGCCCAATATGATTCACAGTATACTTTATCTTATGATCTTAGGAAGGAGCAAAATCGTTAAATTAAATAAAGACAGGTTGGTCACAAACTAAGAAAGTCCTTCCCACTAACCCTCAAATTAGAGAATTGTGTAAACATACCAATAAGGGAAAATTAAAACTAAACAATGCATCTGAAATACTGCACTCTCCTTCCATGTTCTTAAATGTCCTTGGTAGCCCTTAAATGTTTTCTTTTGTCTGTACTTGATCTCACCTGGTCTCATGGATTTGCCTACCACCCATTTGATGGTGACTCTCACGTTTGTTTTAGGCAACCAATCCCTAAATTCCAGGCTCATGTATCAAACTGCCTACTCAACATCTATGCTTGGATTTCTAAACAGGCAGAACCAAGATCCGACACTTTCTCCCCAACCTTGCACAATTCTGGTCTCTACCATCTTAGTTATTGGCAACTCGATTCTTCTAATCACTCAGTCATCCCTGATTTCCTTCTTTTTCCCATCTAATCAACAGTAAATTCTGTGGGCTATGCTCAAAGACATCCATAACCTGACTGCTTTTCACCCCTTCACTGCTGCTGCTCCAGTCTCCTCCACCACCATCTCTCACCTGGCCTATTTTAATGACCCCCCCCACCAGACTCCTAGATTCCCTCCCTATGCCCTTTAATTTACTCATAACATGGATACCATATGAAAATGTAAGTCAGATAATATCACTCCTTTGTTCAAAATCCTCCAATTATTTCTCATTTCACACAGAATAAAGTCCAAAGTCTATACAATGGCATACTGCATTATCTATCTGTCCAATATGGTACTAAATGGAGCAAGACTCTATGGTCCTTGCCCGCCATGTCTTCTGCCTGCATTTCCACAGACTAAATTCTGTGGAAAACTTTAGTCAAAGAATAAGTTTAATCAGAGAAATGAGAAAATGTAGAAACAAAGAAAAACAGTCAAAGGAGATCAAATAATAATAAAATAGTCATTAAGCATAGTCAAGGACCTTCAGTTACTTCTCAAGGGCTACAGATAACTTTCTGAGCCTCATCCTGTGAGCGGTCCCACACACACTGAAACCCCAGATGAAGAAGTTAACGATGACCAGACTATAGTTGTGACATGAGCTGCTACAATCCCAAGAACTGGCTTCAGAGAAAGAGGAATTAACCAACCCTGGAGTTAAAGATTAACTGTACCTAAAACAACCAAGAGGATGCTGGTCAGACCACTGATGACCAACTTGAGTTGACTGTGCTATTTGTGCATGCAGCCCCTTCCCTCAGCCTATAAAAGCTCTCATGCCCTGCCTGTCAGGAGGGGAGTCAGCCTTTGAACAGATGCCCACCCTTCCCATCCCTCACCAACCCCTTCCACCTCTCACCAGTGCCTGGCATCTGAAATAAAGCAAACTTTGCTTTCCACCAACCTGGCCTATTTATTGGCTTTTGTGTGGTGAGTACCCAGACCCCACCTTTGGGTAACAGTCCCCACTCACCACAGGTGGGAATCAACTCTTTTTTTTAGGTCTTTATTCAAATGCTGACTTCTGAGGGAGGCATTCCTTTGGTATTCTATCTGAAATTCCAGCTACTCCCCCAACCCTCCCTTTCTACTTTTCTCCACAGCACTTATCTCCACCTAATATATCTACTTATTTGTCATGGTTATTGTCTCTCTTCCCCCAACAAAAATAAGAGTTACATGAGGAAGCTATATTTTTGGTTATTCTTATCACTGTTCTATTCCCAGTGCCTAGGACAGTGACTAGTTCATTAAGTATTTATTTTTAACAGCTGAATTAATGAATTTACATTTGTCTTTAATGACACAAGAGGAGATACACATTCACCCAGATGTTTACCTCCTTTCTTTAGTCTCCCTTACCCAAACATTTTTTTCCCTTACTCTCCTGGCTTGGACTCAAACTTAATTGACAAGGATCTATGAAAGTAAATAATCTTCAATACAGATCATAAACAATGGAGAATTAAATATATAAAAAAGAAATGAGGGAAGGTGAAGGTTAGAATCATTTAAAATGAGAAGAACTCTAGAATAACTACAAAGACTAACTGGACATCACAAATTCATATTTTAGAACTTGTAATTCTGGTATGGTGCACAGCTAAAGCTATTAAGAAATAAAAGTTTACCGACTAAAGCTCACTGTCAAGGTGAGACAGACAGTGGGCCCTCTTGGCTTGTAACTGTTCAGCTATTCAGGGCACAGGTTATTTCAAAATGAGGGCCATAAATTATCAGGAAGCAAAAGAAATCTTGTTAACAGATCACAATTTCCTGACACTTTTCTAGTTTCAATGAAGAATTTAATTATTACAATGAAGAACTCAAAAATTAGTATCTTGTCAAGTGTCAGTTATTTGAACTACAAGCTAACCAGGCATAAAATAATGGGTTTTATCTCAAAGATACTATGGGCTATATTAAATTTCTAAGAAATGGTACAGAATCATCATTGTGAGTTCACTTTAAAATCTGTACTGCTGCCTTGTCCTAATGTCTGTAAACTGGAGAGCTATTCCTTACCTTCACTATCTGAGCTAGAGAGCCTACGCTTGTGAACGCGTCTGATTTCTTTACCACGTCGTAAACTCTTCTGGGAACCATCACTTTCTGAATCTTCCTTGTAGTTAATTTGTCTCTTCTGGTTCCTTCTAGACCTTCTTCGCCGAGTTTCTACAAAATCATCGCTAAAGTCATCACTAAAGTCACTTTCTGTTTAAAAAAAAGGGGGGTGGATAGAAAGGAAAAAGAAGTCAAGTACAAATTTTAATTTTCAATTCCACCAAACAGAAATGTTAGTTTACCTTATAAAAATATAAAGCTATTACACAGAGTTCAGTCATAACTTTTAAATGAACAGTAACTTTTATAAATCTCCAATTTTCTTCTGAATAATATGAGTACATCTCAAGGGAGTTTTAATGCCAAAGCTCACAAATATATCATGCTAGCAGTCAACCTCAAGATTAAAAAATGTTTTATTGGGAATTCCCTGGCAGTCCAGTGGCTATGACTCTGTGCTCTCACTGCCAAGGGCCTGGGTTCAGTCTTTGGTGGGGGAACTAAGATCTTGTGGCACAGCCAAAAAAAAAAAAAAAAAAGTTTTTCATAAACCTTATCTCATACAACCTGGAGCTACCCAGCTGGCTGCATGGCTGCCACAACCCTTCTTCTTGGCGGATGGTTACTGTTCTGCCTCATGATGACCTGCTGTTCCTATGGATGCAGCTGTACGGCTACAGTCATAGCATCACAACGCACTGCAGAGGTTAAACTTTCTAACCACAGAAAACCGATGAGCTTGTTTCAAACACACAACCGGGGTTATACTTCTGGCTTTTACCCATGCGGAATTAAAATCTGCTGAATACAACTCACAGGGCTACTTTAACTCCCAAAGCACTGCTAGACAGCACTGTTCCTGTCACGTCATCTCTGATCAATAAATCAAAATCAGGCTGCGACACTGTGTCAGAGTAGTTTTTAGGAACGCTAACACATCTCACTGAATCATCACATCTAGTTTTGTTCTCTAATGGATTTCAAATATTCAAAAACTGCTAGCCAACAGTTTAAAGGCCAAATCTAGGACAAACTGAGTCAAAATAGTGATGGTAATAAGACTGAAATAAGAATCCATTAAATCCATACTGATACCAAAGAAACAAATACACAGGGCAGAACAGAAAGCTCTTTCTTACAGAACAGCAAGTAATAAATAGGAAGGAAGGAGTTAGAAAATCATCAACAAATGCTAAAGCTAGTGGGTGCAACATCTGATAAGGAACAAGGTATTTACAGCCTCAAAATACCTTGTATGAATTACTTATTAATTACAAAGGGAAAATAATAGAGATGTGGAGGACATACATTAATTATGTGATATTCGGGCCAAAAATGTATAACGAGAATCTAATCACAAGGAAACATAAAACCAAATGAGTTATATTTTACAAAATAACTAGTGTGTATTCTTAAAAAATGTTGTGGTCAACAAAGACGTTTCAGGTATATTACAGATAAAAGGAGACCAAAGAGACATGAATAAATGCATAACATAATCCTAAACTGGATCCTCAACTAGGAAAAAAATGTTAACGTAAAGGACAATATTGGGGCACCTGATGATATCTGAATGTGTACTATTGATAAGTTAATGGTATTTTATCAATATAAAAATTCCCCATTTTAATATTATACTATGGTTATGTAAGAAAATATTCTTGTTTTCAGCAAATAATCACTGATAAAGGGGTCTGATGTCTCCCAATAATTCAAAAGGTTTAGAAAAAAAGATAAAACAAAAAACTCCACAAGCCTGGCCCGAGTTGGGATATAATACTCCTGTCTGTAGCATTTCCTCAGTAAGATGACAGCTACCTATCTGCCAATCCATTGGAGCATCTTATCTGTCATTTTAGCTGCCGTGCCTCTCTTTACTTAATTAATACGGATGAGCATAGCTATAAATAACATCAATCGCTGATAACTTATAAAAACTAATAAATCACTGATTATGATCTAAATGTTAGAGATGATTAGTGATCTTTCTCTAACAGCTAGACATCTGAGGAGAAATGTTCTGAGATTATTAAAAACGATTCCTAAGAAACACTCTGGAGGTGAAGTCTAGGCATGGAAACACACAGCACCAAAGGATTCATCACGACTGTAAACGAGTTTGGCATGAAGTGAACACATCCATCCTGTCTTCTCAGACGTGCTTTATGTGAAAGATTTAATTAGTGGCAAATGGTTAAGAATAGAACACAAAGTTTCATCAGACAGTTTATATTACAACTGAATGGAATTTTATTTTAAGAAATTTTAGTTCCAGAAGTTACAAGAATTTCCTAGTGAGCTGTGGATATGAATTATCTTTACCAGAGTCTCTGCTGTTTTCCTCAGACTCTTCTTCCTCGTCATCGTCAGAGCACTTTCTCTTTGGGGTCTTTCTCCGCAAACGCCTGCTTTGCCTCATGGGCCGGGAGGGGTGTCGCCTTAGTCTTCGGCTACAGAAATCAGTGTCGCTGTCATCGTTAGATGGTGGGTCTTCTTCACTCTCATCTGGGTTCTCATCAGATACAACAAATTCATCCTGAGATCTATCCAAGAGAAACCAGATGAATTATGATGGTACACTTAAAACCATGAACCCATTTTGGAGTTCTGAGTTCGAATTCTAACAAGCCCAGTGAAATTATTAAACAATGTTTAATGGAAATATCTAGGTCATGGGATCAATTTCCTTGTTTATAAAATGAAGAGATGTTTTGCACCCATTCTTTTTTTTTTAGAAGGAGTTATGAAGATCAATTGATGCTGATTTTTGTACATAAACTGCTTTTGCCTCTTGGGAAGTACTCCATGTGCCTCAAATTCAACATGTCCAAAAATGAACTCATTATTTCCTAGCCTACTCCTCTCTTCTGTTCCCTAGCCTGGTATTTGGTACTATCACCCATCCAGTAATTCAAGGCAGAAACTTGGAATCCTTTATCCCAATTTCTTTCTCCCTGTTCATTTCTCATATCAGTGACTAATTCCTCCTGAGTCTACTTCATAAAGATATCTCAAACCTGATACCTTTTCTCAGTTCAGGGTCTCATATCCCATCTAAACTACTACAGCAATTCCCCAAAGTCTCTTTAATTTCTATGCTCATTTCCCCTCAATAAATTCTACCAATGAATTCAAGGATGAATCTTTCTGAAACATAAACCTCATATTAGTCTGGTATTTAAAACTCCTCAGTGGGTTTTCATCATTCTTATGCAGGACAAACACAAAACTCCATCATCTGGTTTCTTTTTATGCCTTGGCTACATCTCCAGCAGGGCAATCTCTGCTGCTACCTTAATTCTTCTTATCCTGACAAACCAGGAGTTTCCTAAATATTCTGTGACATTTTATGCCTGGCTGCCCTGGACAGGATTTGTTTAGAATACTTTTTTTCTCTATACTGCTTCTAATCCCCAATTCATCAATCTGCCCAATTCATTCTTCACATTTCAGATAGAGCTTTATTTCCACTCTTGAGGCTTTCCTTGACCTCCCTGGATTGATGTGGCCCTCTTCTGTACCCTGACTTACGTTTTAGTAGCAATCATGCAGGACTTTTCTGTGGTTTATATGTTTGTTTTCTCCACTAACAATCTGACAGGAGAAACTCTGTGGTATTCCTTCCATATATCTGCTCTGTAGAGAAGCTTCCTGACAGTATAGAAGGAATTCAGTATAGAATTCTTGCCCCAACCCAAACCCCTATAGGTCACCAGAAAATAGTTTCTAATTACTTATACCTGTCCATTTCTCACATTTGACTGGGAACCAATGCAAGGTGCATGGGTTCAACCCTTGCTCACGGAACTAAGATCCCACATGCTGCATGACTTGGTCAAAAATTAATAAATAGTTGTTGTTGTTCAGCCGCTCAGTTGTGTCCGACTCCTTGTAACCCCAAACACCCCTAAAACTTCATTTTAATCTAGAAAGAGCCAAAATCAGCATTGTTGAATCTGTTTTAAGTACCCTGAAAACAAACTGTCTACATGCAGAACAAAAAGCCCCATCAGGGCAGAGCCAAGTTTGGTTGGAAGCCCTGTTCAAGCCTCGACCTAGGGAATGGGATCTACCGACAGACCACGTACCCATCACTGATCTTGAATTCATCCTCGCTCTCCTCTTCATCCAGGTTGCTGTCACTGTCCAGATCATTCAGTCGCCGGCGTTTCTTCCGGCGAGCAGCCGCTGCCCTCTGGGGTCGTTTATTTTCTTTTCTTTCTTCATCCAATATAGTAGAGATGTCTTTTCCACGGTGGCCTGTGATGGTAGAGATATCTTTTCCTCGGCCAACTCCTGAGTCCAGGGGCAGGGATGTAGGGTTGAGGGAAAGAGAGGGAAGGAGAAAGAAAGACAACTCTATGTTTATTAAAAGTTTCCCTTTAATATCTACAGATTGTCCTTAGCAGCTTTTTCATTTGACTTCATTTTCTTCCTAGAGCTATGTAATTTTCTCACAGCTTTAACTGACAGAGTTTTCAAGAAAGTTTTACATTTGTTTATCCTATTAAATGGGGCTTTCCAGGTGGCTCAGTGGCAAAGAATCTTCTTGCCACTGCACGAGGTGCGGGTTTCATTTCTGAGTCAGGAAGATCTCCTAAAGAAGGACATGGCAACCCACTCCAGTATTCTTGCCTGGAAAGTCCTATGGACAGCAGAGCCTGGTAGGCTATAGTCCATGGGAGCATAAGAGTTGGACACGACTTAGTAACTAAACAACAACAACATCCTACTAAACAGAGGTTCACTATGTAGAGAACTTTGTCCTAAAAAATTTTGATATGATTCACAGAATAGTCATCCTTTTAAAGTATATAATGAGTAGGTTTTCAGTATAGACACAAAGCTGTGCAACCATCACCACTAAACCCAGAGCATTCTTATCATCCTCAAAAGAAACCTCATACCTATTAGCAGCAGTCACTCAAGAGTCTCCTCTTCAAAGTCGTTTTATGGACATGGCTTTAGAAAGAGACTAATCTTTTTTTTTTAAAACTGTGTTTGCCGGACAGAAAAAGTGAGAATTCAGCAGCAAAGATGTAAATAAGGCACAGATGTCTGGAAAAGCTAGTGACTTCTTCAGTTTGACTACAAACAGCCTACTTATTACTAATCCCTGTAGGAGTTTTCATAATAACCAAATGGAAATAATCATCTTCCACACTGAAGTACTGGGAATTCCCTATACAGCCCTTTAATTATCTTCAAATACTTTTACTTTAATGTTAATCATTAAAGACTATGAAATTAATAAACCAGTTTTTAATTGAAAACAGATTCAAATTACTGATTTTTGTGACTGTAGCAGCAGTCATTTAAAAATGGAAAGATAAAAGTTTTCTCTTTGGAAGCAGAAGTAAATTTTTTAATCTAGGGATGAAGAATTCTATTTCGTATCAGATTATAAAATAATACTACCTTTAAAATAACTGGGCTTCCCTGGTGGCTCAAAGGGAAAAGAATCCACATGAGTTCAATCCCTGGGTTGGGAAAATCCCCTGGAGGAGGGAATGGCAACCCACTCCAGTATTCTCACCTGGAGAAACCCCTTGGACAGAGGAGCCTCACGGGGTACAGTCCATGGGGTCGCAAAGAGTTGAACATGACTGAGCAATGAAGCACAGCACACTTTTAAAACAATTAGTATGCTCTGAGTCTACACATTGGCACTGTCCATGGATTATTTTGAATCTCAGTCAACATGAGTAGTGATGGTGATACACATTGAGGAGAATGAGAAAATATGCTTGCTTACTGCTCTTTAATCAGAGCGTTTTAGTTAACATACTGGCCAAGTGCGATGAATAGAGAATGATAAACACGTACCTCCTCCATCCGCCTCTTTGATATCATCTTCTATAGCTTCATCAATTGCTTCGTCAAACTCATCAAATCTAAAATACATACAACAATCACATTATAGCCTATCCTGGTATATGGACTAGGAAAATTGCCTCTAAAGTAAAAAAGGCCAGAATATGAAACTGCTCTCTGCTACTTTAGGGCTGTGGAACTTGGAGTAGATCACCCCATACTCCTGTTAACTTCAATTTCTTTGGTACAATAGAGTTTTATAAATTAGCATCTAATTCTAAGTTGCTGTTCTTTTACTTTTAAAGAGTATCTATACCAGACATCAACAAGTATTTTTTAAAGGGCCAGATAGTAAATACTTTGTAGTAACTACTCAACTCTGCCACTGTAGTGCAAAATCAGCCACAGACAAAAAGTGAATGAATGTAACTGTGTTCCAATAAACTTTATTTTTTAGACACTGTGATATGAATTTCATGTGATTTTCAAATACTTTTCTCAACCATTTATAAATATAAAAACCACTCCTAGGCCATGCGGTATACACAAACCAATAATGAGCTGGATTGGCCCACAGGTCATAGTTTGCTAACCCAATTATACAAATCATATGACAGAGTAAACTGAACCAACTTAGTATTCGAGAAATAATACTAAGTGTGAGGAATATATTATTGTTGCTATCAATTATTATATTATCCTTATTACTGAGAGTCTTATACAGACAGTCAAAATTTTAAAACTAGGTCAAAGTACTTTTTCTCAAAAGGGCTTTTTCTTCTACCTAAAGAAAAAAAACAAGACTAGATGATTCCTAAGATTTTTTCACATACAAAGCTCCTTTCACTTGAGAACTGAGGTGATGAAAAGATATGGGACTTGTTGAAGACTATGCTAAGCACAGTAATTACTAGGCCCAGGTGGCTATTTATATTTAATTAAAATAAAAAACTCTGTTCCTTACTAGCTACATTTCAACTGCTCAACAGTGACATACGGCTACTGATTTCCATACCACACAACAAAGAAATAGAACATTCCCATAACCACAGTAAACTGGATAGCATTGGATTAAAGTTACCCAGTGATTAACAACACAGATGAGACTATTAAACAAATACTTTGCCCTTTGGAGTTGAGAAATTCATTACAGCTACAGACTTCCTTTCTAGGAAAATATATATACTTATAGGAACATAAAATTTTACATATTTCAGAGGATTCACAAGTTTCAGGCTAAGAACTCTTCTTCTACAACATATTTTTAAATGCAACACTTTACCTCCAATATTTTCATATAATGCTATGAAAAACATCCTTGTAGATGTAGCTGAGCTTTTTCTTAAGAGGAATTCTGAGAAAGAAGAAAATCTGTCCATCTATTCATCAGGCTAGAAGAAGAGATACAGATCAAGCCAGATGCAAAGTTAATGGAAAAATGGGAATTCTCCCAAGGACATGATGCAGCTGTAAAGGGTCATAATAATCCATTTCCTTTTTTTCTTTAGCAGAAAATTTTTATTACTTTGCCAGGCAAAGGGGGCCACAGTTAACACCCTCAAAACGGTGTCCCCAACAATCTATTTCTTTGAGCCACTACTACCTTCTTACTGAGACACTGTGTTTTCTAAATTCAGAGAGTATCAGAACCTTTGAATAAAGGAAATTTTATCAATAATTAAGAAACACCCACCCTTGACTAGAGGATCTAAGTCACTTTAAACACAAATAAAAAGTTTTGATTTACATTTCAGACTCTGAGTTTGCATAAGCTGTTGGACACAACACCCTACACTTTATCTTTACTGTTTTCAAGGAAAGAGGATGCTGTGTCAACCATGTAGTCTAGATATGATGTGGACCCTTCCATAGTCCTGCTTTTGCTTTGAGCCTTACTCTTCATTTAAATGTCATTTAAACTCTATCCTTAATAAACTCTTCCAGTAAGAAGAGGTGGCAAGAATACACAGAACTGTACAAAAAGATCTTCATGACCCAGATAACCACAATGGTGTGATCACTCACCTAGAGCCAGACATCCTGGAATGAGCAGTCAAATGGGCCTTAGGAAGCATCACTACAAACAAAGCTAGTGGAGGTGATGGAATTCCAGTTGAGCTATTTTAAATCCTAAAAGATGATGCTGTGAAAGTGCTGTACTCAATATGTCAGCAAATTTGGAAAACTTAGCAGTGGCCACAGGACTGGAAAAGGGCAGTTTTCATTCCAATCCCAAAGAAGGACAATGCCAAAGAATGTTCAAACTACTACACAACTGCACTCATCTCACAAGCTAATAAAGTGATGCTCAAAATTCTCCGAGCCAGGCTTCAACAGTAAGTGAACCGTGAACTTGCAGATGTTCAAACTGGATTTAGAAAAGGCAGATCTTTTTTAGTTCTTTTGTGTATTCTTGCCATCTTTTCTTAATATCTTTTGCTTCTGTTAGGTCCATACTATTTCTGTCCTTTATTGTGCCCATCTTTATATGAAACGTTCCCTTGGTATCTCTAATTTTCTTGAAGAGATCTTTAGTCTTTCCCATTCTATTGCCTCTTTTCCTTTGCACTGATCACTGAGGAAGGTTTTCTTATCTCTCCTTGCTGTTCTTTGGAACTCTGCATTCAGATGGACAATATAGTTCTCCTATAATGCTTATTCTAATTGTGTAAACTTGTTCCAACATGACTGATGTATTAAGAAATACTTCAAACATAACATGTATTTAATACTTGCTTATATGTAATTTTCTTCATCAGAAACACTAGGTAAATACAGAAAACTGCACCAGCTGCACAGGAATACACAAGACAAACACATGCACATACCTTATAAATATCTACTGGCTACCTAATCTCATTACGTGTACTATAAGCTACAACCATCTGCACCTAGTATTAAAACTTTCTGGCTGATTAAAAAAATCCTTCATGCTGCTATACAATAAATTACAAACTGCAACTCTCCCCACAATCACTTCTGCAGACAAGCTTCAGGGCTTTTTCAACATAAAATGTCATTGTTTATTGTAGTATTTATGTTATCTCTTAACCATTTAACATGTGCCAAGTGGTATTGCCATTTACATATATATTTTTTAATGTGTCACTGATGAAATTTTTGTTTGCCTCTAACACCATATTTTCCATAATCCCTATGGCTTTTATTGTGTGATTCTGCAACAATGGCAATTTTTAGGAATGTATTGGTTGTGTTATAGTAGAAGTAACTTTAACATTTGAACTTTTCATTACATTTTGACTTCACCAGTTATAATAATTTTATTTAAAAAAAGGTACCATTTCTTTTTCAGTCTTTCTTTTTTAAAAAAGAATAAGACAGACACCATTCCCATAAACATTAAGGATTTTACTCTTACTGATCTAATGCATTTTACAAGTTTTAACAGTAACAACAGAAACAACACAAGGGGAACTCTTTCATGATCACTGATGAAAGTTTATAAACAGGAAGCAAGCTCAAAGTTCTATAAAGTCAATTTTGCTTCTCATCTCCAGTTATTCAAGGACTTTTGTTGTTGTGTAACAATGGTCTAAAATAATTAAAATATCAGTTACTTATTATTTGAGTGAGACAGGGTGGTTCAGTAGAGAGAACACTAGATGAACAATTAGAAGATAGATTTTAGTCCAGGTTTAACTGCTAACAGTGACCATGGAGGAGTCTCTCTGTGGTGCATTTCTGAAGACAGATGGTAAACCAGACGGCATTAACTGAGTCTTTCAGTAGGCACTGACGGAGCACTATGCTAGCCGTAAACAACAGACGGATGCATAACACGGATATGGTACTTCCCTTCATGTTAACAGTGAAGTGTAGGAGAGAAATATTAATCAAAAAATAAAAATCACAGTAGTTACAACTACAGAAGTACTCTCAAGGAGAAGAACTGGTTGCTATGAGGGCGTATAATAGAGGGATTTGATTAAGAGAAGGTTGTTATTTAACAAGGTTAAAAAAATAGAAGGGAATTTCAAGGCAGAGTAATCAGTCTGTACAAAGGGACTGAAAAGACGCAGTGGCTAAGTTGAGAGTGAGGAAAAAACGTGGGTGAGGTGGGGCTGAGAGGCCAGGGCAGGGCGGACTGCGCAGGGCCTCTGCGCCTTGCTAAAGGCGCCAGCCCTTCCCCAGAGCTACAGAAATCGGGCAAAGTATGTCAGACAGAAGAGGACAGCATGGAGACATTTGGAAAAGATGATGTTGGCTGCTCTAAAATTCTGATTCTAAAGACAGTGAATAAGAAATATATATACAACTTCTAATGATTACTGTAATGGTAACAGCAAGGTTGTTTTAAAAACAGTTTCCACTCTTTCATTTCCAGATTTCATACCTGTAACTTATACACTTCCGTGTTCGTGTTGACCTCCTTTCAAGCAAGTTTGCTTTGGATTTTTTTGAATCTTTTTTCTTTTCTTCATGATCTTCAGAAAAATCTGGCTCCTGGTTTAAAAATAAAGTAAATATACAGGTTATTATGACAGAACAAAGTTCCTTGGAATTACTAGCTTTCTAAAGTCCATCTAGGCAGCACATATGAAAGGTTAAAAAAAAAAAGTCAAATGGTCGCCTCAAAACTAACTAAACAGGGCAAGACTCAGTATAGAGATTAAAAATAATACTGGTGGATCAAAGGATGAAAATACTTCTGCATCAAACTTATGCTTTTGTGAGTTTATAGTTACCTCTTTTAAAACAATCATGATGAAGTCTACCTACTAATAACTAAAGTTAACACACATAAAATAGTCAATAGATATGCTGAATAAATGAAATACTGGATTTAGAAGAAGAAAGGGACATGGTGCTCCAGGAAAATAACTAACCAGACAGGTGCTTTCAGTGTGTGATTTAATTAAGCCTAGAATGAAACTGCATTTGAAATTAAGAAAATGTCTTCATTTCAGAAGAGATTGGGCGCGTTCAGGGTGGTATGGCCGTAGACTGTCTTCATTTCAAATGAAAACCATGTCACATATATTTTCACTCATGAGATACCTTTCTTAATTATAAATTAGATTAATAAATGCAAAACAATAATATCCCTTCAAATAAACCAAACTGTAAGAACACAAATTGGAGTTTCTGATAACCCCCAAAACTGGGAAATAAAAAACCAAATATCCCTGAACCATTTTTTAGTCACTTTACATAAATAGCACATAAAGAAGCAAAAAATAAATTACTCAATTTAGGGTAAAAAATCAGAACATAAACCCAATAGGGGTGAGCTGTAAACTTGGTTCAGATGTGATGTTACATTTTGGGGCTATCTGTACACACATAATTTCAATCATAAGGGAAATGGGTGATTTTTTGAAAGTGCTAAATTTCATTTTTAATAAAACTGGTATATTATATATTTACTTATTTTTTTTCCATTTATTAAACTGGTATATTATATATTTAAAACCACTCATATAACAAAGTAAGTTAAATTTTAGAACACTTTTGGCGGTCTTCTGTCTAAAAATACTATAAAGCAGAAACTTACTTGTGGAGGAATGATGTTTTCAATACTAATACCCACATACACCAAGCGTTCTTTCCTTTAAAGAAAAATGACAAAAGAAATAACAATGTAGCTTTGGAACATACTAATGCAATTATTTTTAATAGCATATAGGTAATTTCTCTGAATAGTCTAACTGGCTTAAAGGACTTCCTAGAGATATGAAATGTAAAACTTTTTTCTTTAAACTTCATTTTACTTCTCTTATACTGTATTCTTGCATTTCGTGTTAATGTGGCTTGTTAAAATTTTTTAGAATACAAGTTTGTTTGACATGAACTATGAATCTGGACTATTTCTAAAGGTTGTTTTCACAATTTTCTATAAAACTACCCTGTACAGCGCTGACAGAGGGATATTAATAAATATTGTGTTAGTAAAAAAAAAAAGCATACAAAGTGAGATTTGCTAAAAGTAAAACTTATGAAAACATTACTAACATAGATAATACTAAAATTACAACTTTACAGTAATAGCAGAAGCTAGGTCATGAACATATTAGTTAATATCCATGAAACTTATAGTATTGGTATCTGTGGCAGGCACAAAACTTTCTAAAGGTATGAAAAGCTCAGTTACGGAAGTGATTGATACCAGGCAATATAAACCTTGTAAATGAAATAAACAAGGAAATTTGATGAGAAGAGCCATGCTGTGACTCACTGATGAAGTGATCAGATGAAATGCCAACTCTGATCTGACAAACTGTATCTTTGTTATGCTGGAAGTTCTCAGCAACACTGTATGTGAAAGATTCTCAGCCCATTCACTTCTTGTTTGCAGAGAAGAAAAGCAGCAACAGTTATACATCTCTGCACTATATAGGATGCTTACAAAAACAGATCTTCAAAGCCAGTTGAGACTTTTCCAGAAAATGTAGATTTATGAACACTAAAGATACTTCCAGAGTTTCCCTTCAAAGAAACCTTTGTTCATCTTAATTCAAAAAGTTTTACACCAAAAATTGCTGTATATAACAGTAGTTTTCTCTGGTTTTCTGACAGTTAATTCCATTCAACAAGGACAACTGAGCTCTTGCATACACATACCACTGTATGTTCTATTAAACAGAAACATAATAGTAACCACTCTTCTACCATTTGTGATGCCCTACATAGGACATTAATAATCCAGTTGTGTAGGTTCTTTAGAACATAGCCTTTACTGCCCTATAAACTCTGGGCCCTTCTAACAAGAATTTTATAGTCTTTTTAGAGACAGGTTATGAAGCTCTTAGGCTTCCCAGGTGGTGCCAGTGGTAAAGAACCCAACTGCCAATGCAGGACATTCCTGAGACAAGGATTCAGCCCCTGGGCCTGAAAGACCCCTGGAGGACAGCACAGCCGCTCCCTCCAGTGCTCTTGCCTGGAGGAGCCCACGGACAGAGGAGCCTGGCGGGCTACAGTTCACAGAGTCGCAGAAGTGGGACACAACTCAAACAACTTAGTACACATGTATGAAGCTATTAAACAAAAACTGGCATAGAAAAATAATAAAATTATTTTAATCAAGACCCATTTTTAAAAAAACAGCACAAGTTAGTGAACTAAAAACTAGGAAAGGAAGAACAGTACTAGCTGAATGTAACAGGGAGGGCTACATGGATAAGTTAAAACTTAAGCTGTTATTAAAAATGCCTGACATGTTTCTAACCAAGTTTGTTGTGATATCAACTTCCTCTTTTATACTGCAAAAGCTTTATTTTCACTTGACCATTATTTCTCTTCTCAACTCAATGGAAAAAACATAGTCATGCTGCAGGTTAGGTCATGATTTACGTCAGACTTGGAAATCCAAAGGTAAATAAGACATGGTTTTGCCCTCCCAATTATTTAACAACTGACTGTACTCCATTATGAACAGGTATAATGGAACTGTGAAAAAAGAACAGATTTTTGTCTAAAGAGCTGAGAAATTTGGAAAGACATTAAATAGGTGGTAATATTAATATCTGAGTAAGATCTTAAAGATAGGTATGATTTCTCCTCAAAGCATTTTCTTGCTCAGTAACCTTACAAAGAGTCGGACCCGACTGAGAGACTGAACTGAACTGAACTGAATCTTATGGAAAGTTACACCTTCCATTCCATCTCACCACATAGCTCAATGATCATATTGGGCTCAGACCTTATTATGACCACACGCCTTCTAAGATTTCCATTTCAAGGAACCTGTTTTCTGGTTTCTACTGACTCACTTTCCAGCTGACTCCCTCTGGTACACTGATGCTGACAACTCCCTGACTCCAGGGGAGCCTCCATCCATTGACCCTACTCTCTAGTCACTGTTTGGCACTCCCTTTGTATCCTTACTTTCCCCCTTACCTGGCTTAGACTTCACGGTCCATCATTATAAATACTCCTTTGCATACACTTTCAAATTCCTTGTCTTTTTCTCTCCTTCCCTCTGCTACATTACCTGGAAAATGCCAACCCTGATTAAATCCAACTCTGTGCTAGCAAAGCACTAGTAACAGTACTCTGGAAGTACAGAGCTATTTGAATTCCCAATAATTTCTGGCACCCAGTCCTGGAAGGGATGTTTACACATCAGTTGCATGGATTTCTGAAACATGGGACATCAAAAAGCATCCCAGTTCCAGTTCTATAGACAGTTGCTGGCTAGTTACTAATTACTCACTGACACATCTTTCTTTTTCGTCATGCCAGAGCCATATACTATATATCTCATTTTGATTACACTGCCTAGCATAAAGTTAGGTGCTCAATAAATGTTCAATATATGTTGACTAAAAGCACAAACAAGGGAAAAGATGCTGTAGCACTATGACACAGAGAGTAAGCAAGGCTCCAAGTTGTTAGGATGAATGCTACAGAAATTGTTGCACAGATCTGAAACTGGATGAAAAAAAAATGCACACTATTTAGATGAAGTCCCCTGGAATTTACAGTTAATGTATTATTTACTTTAGAAACACGTATTTTGCTATTTAGAGCTTCTAATATAAACATACATTAGGAGCTATAAATAATGAAGGCTATGTTAAACAGATTCTGGGGGAAAATTAGCAAACAACAGTAACAATTCGGTTAACCTGCCTTGTCAGAATGGTCTCTCAAATAGGATTTAGTGTGTGATCTAAAGGCACACACAATTACAGATGTCCTCTTAAAGGACAACATTTAAGTAAAGAGAAAATTCATTTCAAATGTATGACAAAAACCACTGCAATGTTGTAAAGTAATTAGCTTCCAACTAATAAAAATAAATGGGGAAAAAAAAAAACCCCAAAAAAACATTTAAGTAGAGAGGATTATCAAGAAGAGAAAAGAAACTGGATGAACTAGAAAACGGGAGACCAACAGTGTAAACAAATATTGTGGCACATTTTAACATAAATTTCTAAAATTTAAAGTATTTCTTAACTACAGCAACATATCCTAAAGTATAGGAGGCAAAAGTAAATGCTCACCGACCGATCTTTCCACATATAAACCCGACAAGCATCATAGGCTTCCAAAGGACAAACAGATACAATGTGAGTATGAGACAAATTCTTAGTGGTTTACATTCTTGGCTTTTAGAAAGAATCCATTTTCTTCCGTGTCCTTAAAGAGTAAGCCTATTAGCTATCTACAATGTTATGTCAGATCAGCTTCAGAACATGAGAAAACTGCTCATTTCTCAGAAGGGCAGGTAGATTTCAAGAAGACTGAGTCCAATTTTAAATTATGACTTAAGACTAATTTGAAGCATCTTTAATTTGATCTCTTCCCGTGTCAAAAATTAGTGTGTTTAGTCATTCAGTCATGTCTGACTCATTTCAACCCCATGGACTATAGCCCACCAGGCTCCTCGGATGGGGAATTCTCCAGGCAAGAATACTGGAGTGGGTTGCCATTCCATTCTCCAGGGGATCTTCCCAACCCAGAGATCAAACCCGGGCCTCCTACATTGCAGGTAGATTCTTTACCATCTGAGCTACCAGGGAAGCCCATCAAAAATTAAGACAGGAGCAATTTGCACATCAAAATAGTCTTAATAACTGTATATAGGACTATCAGTAAGAGTTCCTAAATATAAAAGTATTTTAGACAACTGATTAACCCAGGTCCCCTGCATTAGAAGCATTGAGTCTTAACTACTGGACCGCCAGGGAAGTCCTTGAACCCATTTTTAATGTTCACCTTTGCAGAGTAATGTGTGTGGATTATGGAATGAGCAGACTGCCTGAAGGCAAACTAAATTTTTCAGGGTAATACTATGGGATAGCAGTAAAAGTTAGGGTTAGGGAAAGTAGCAACAAATGAAAGAGACACTGCTTAGATTTTTCTCACATTATGAATACATGGGCATCAAGTCCTACTGATTAAGACCATGAAAATTCTCTTCAACCTCTCTACTTTATTATCATGATGACTGATCTAGTTCAGGCCTCACTGACTCCCAGAGACTTTATTCCAATGGCCTTAATGCTAATTCCTCCTTCTTGCTGTTACCAGGGTATTTTTTTCTGAAATAAACGTCTGATTATGCATATCTCTCCTTTGATGGCTTTCCCACTGCCTCTAGAGAATAATTCAGATTTCCTAGCCAGTTATGCAAAGCTGGCCACAATCTGGCCTCAGTTTCCTTTTTAGCTTCATCCCCCACCACTCTTCCTCTCACAGTCACACTCTGTGCGTTTATTGTGCTCTTTGCCTGAAATATCCTTTCTCTGCATGTCAGTCTGTATAACCTCTAGTTACATTCCAAGGACTTCCCTGATAATCCAAGCTCTTGGAGAACTACAGTGCCCCTCCACAATGTTCCAATATTGCTCTAAATGTACCGCAATTTGTCTACTTATTTGCATCACTGGTTCATATGTAGAAGATAAGCTCCAGGTAAGTAAGAGCTTTGTTTTATTCACCTTTTCTCTTCAATTTGGAACAAGATAGGAAAGAATGAATGTTTAGCAACAGACTAATCAAAAAAGGTACATAAAATTATCAATAAATATGAACTTACCGTCTTGATTATGAGCTCCTGTAAAGATTAAGCTCAACTCCAATCTTACCTCCTCCAAGGAGCCTTCTTCTAACCACTGCAATGGTCTGTCTGCTTTAGACCATACTGCAGGGGCATATTGGAAAGGGAACCATTGCTTACAGTCAGTAAGCTCTTTATTTCACCAATGCTAATTCTACCCACCCAAAGAGATGCCATGGGAAACTAAACTGTAGACCAATTCTTTGTGTTTTCTTGAACTCCCTACATATTTAGATACATATCCTCCACAATACTTGGGCCAATACTTATTCAGAGTAGGTTATGACAGAAACTTTAGATCAGGGACTGGCAAACTTCCTGTAAAAGGACAGATAATATATTAGGCTTGGGTAATATGGTCTCTGTTGCAACTACTCAACTCTGTAGCTGTCGTGCAAAAGCAGTCACAGATAACATATAAACAATGAGCATGGCAAAGGTTATTTACGAACAATGAAATCAGAATATGTAATTTTGATGTGCCATGAAATATGACTTTTGTTTTGATTTTTTTTCTAATCATTTAAAAACAACAAAAAAAGACCCAATCTTAGGTGGAAATACGAAAACAGGAAGTGGGCCACACTTGGCCCACAAGTAAGAGTTTACCAATCCCTGCTTTATACAGACACATTAGTCTATACTGGAAGATAATTCTGATGTCAAATTCCCAAGTGAAACATTAATACACATATCAAAGTACCTGCGTTCAGCACGCTCCTTCTTCTTTAAGGCAACATCCAAATCTTGCAATTGTTCTTCTAATTTTTCGCACAGTAGTTTCTGAAAACATAAAACAAATGAGTGTCATCTTAAACACTTTTCCACAATCACTTATCTCTTGCCTATTAGCTAAAGCTGCAGTGCTAAGACAGCTAATAAGGGGCCACAGAGAAAACAGTGACATGTTCCTTGTATTTAATTAAATAAAGAATGCCACTTCAGTTCATCCACTGAACTGAAGATGAGCAGGGTATCTTTGAAGTAACACACACGTTAAAGAAACTTACAGCTTTGTCAAGAAACATATTCTATGCCTATCTTGCTGGCAGTAATTAATGTTTAAAATAACATTTGGTTCAACATATATACATGACAGTGATTAAAAAAAACTTTATAAATATCAAGGCATTTTTAAGGAAGAATGTTACATATACAACAAAATATAATGGTATCAATCACTTTTTTTTTAAGAGAATGGAAAAAAAATTTACAAAATCATGCCAAATGGTTACTGGGTCAAAATAGAGCTGAAGAATATAATTGTTAGAGTGACGCTAAGTCAAATAATTCCACTTAACTAAAAAAATGCAATAAAGACCACCATCTCTTAGGGATTTTTTTTTGAGTCATGCCGCACAGCTGTGGCATCTTAGTTCCCGGCCCAGGGATTGAACCCATGCCTTCTGCAGTGGAAGCAGAGTCCAAACCACTGGACCATCAGGGAATTCTCAAATTTTAAAGCAAAATGAGACTGGGCTTGTGAGAGAAAGGACCTTTTGAATAAAAAAATATTCTGCTCTTCAGGTTTTAAAAGAAATCCACCGAATCACGACATGAGAGAAACAGAATCCAAGATTCTATTCATAGTACCATCATAATGGTCCATAATTTATAACATCATCTATAAAACTGAAAAAAAGAAGGTAGGCAGAAATGAAAAAGAGGATGAAACGAAGGGATAAACAATAGGAAGAAACTTATCTCTTCCCTTGTATCTTATCCTCAAGGAGGGGAGAGGTGGTTGTGCCTTTAACAAATGTGAGAAAAAATAAACCAGAGATTCTAATTTTTTAAAAACAAGAGGTCCTTTGAGAATTGCTTTGGGAAAAAATAAAGGGAAGACCTATAAGATACTAATAAAAGGTAGTTTTTAATAAACAGCTTCTACTTTTATAGAAATTTAAAGAAGAGATAAACAATATCTATAAACTGATGATTAAAATGTTTAGCGGCTGTCAAGAAATATTAATTTGAATATAAAAGCAGAGACTGGAAAACCAGAATTGTGCTGGGTTGTCATACATGCTGGCAAGGGGGACAGAACCATTCTCCATCTGGAATAATCATTAGAGGAGGGCGAAGGCAGGCAGTGTGGTATCCACTGTCACAAGAGTCACACAGAAGGATCTGAAATAAACCACAGATTAATGTCAATCTCTCTATGGGTAATATTCAATAACACAAGTTAAAATAAAGACATTTCTTAACCACTGGGCCATCAAGGAAGTTCCCAAGAAGCATGTCTAATCCAGCATCATTCCCCTGCATATCTCATTTCCCTGCCACTCAACACACAACAGTGGCTTGGGATTTTTATTTGAAGATTATCCTGAAATATCCAGCATATGAAATTAAACCACATTTCAGATCTTCAGTTTCCAATGTCATTCTCTGTGGCACAGTAACCAGCAAATGGGATTTTCAGAGCAGTTACTAGACAATTGAATAAAAATCCTACGTATGTTCTAAGAAAGGTGCAACTTTCTCCACCTCCTGGATGTCATTTCTGCTTGCTTCATTTTACTTCTCAATTCTTCACACTTCTTTGCCATTGTCATCTATTACCACCTAGTGTGTGCCTAGTCACGCCGTTGTGTCGGACTCTGTGTGACCCAGAGGACTGTAGCCCGCCAGGCTCCTCTGTTCCTAGGGATTCTCCAGAATACTGCAATGGGTTGCCATGCCCTCCTTAGTCAAAATGCATTCTTTCAATTAAAAAAAAAATTAGGAAATGGTAGGAAAACAATACAAATGTTGATTTTTACTTGATTTAGAGGGCAGAAAAGACCACTATCATAATTCTTCTCTTTGCCTTTCTCCACTTAAAAATCTTGACTTAATTTTTACAGTTTGAAGATCATAAAAATATTCAGAAGGATCTTCTCAGTGTAATTTTGACATCTGTTTTTTTCAGAGCTGTATCTTTTCCTTAAACCCTTTGAAACTACTGAGATATGATAAACTTCACTGATTAATTTAGTTTCCAGATAGGATTTTCACATTTAGGAGGAAAACTGCAAGTTAAACCACAAATAGCTTTACCTCAGCACACAACAAGTATCAGGAGCTGTGCTGAGCAACTTTACATAACTTGTATCTGCTCTATACAACTCTACCTATGTGGAAGCATCTTTATGTCTCTTATAGCTAGAGCTTGCTTTCAAAGTCCAATCTATTCAAAACAGAACAGCTGGGCATAACAAGAGTGCTTCTTCAACAGGTTCTTTAGAAAGCACTCATAAACTGCAAAAATATATATGTAGGTCAGGAACTGGGTTTTCTGATTTAGGCAATCTCTGAAGAACTTACTTTCCAAATAAGAAAGTTCCATGTAAATCTGTCACTATTTTTCTGAATATATGTGGTCTATAATTATCCTCTTAATTTTTTTTTAGAACTACCCATTTCTAAAGTTTAAGGCCCTACTGGGTTACTACTTGACTTTATTTACATGTTTTTACAGAAAAGCAACAAGCCCTTCAGGTCTTACTTATTTGAAGCTGCCACTTCAGAAATATCATTATAAAGTAACTTAAAGGGAAAGAACAACATTTTAAAGAAAAAACAAAACAAAAAACAGAATAGGAATATTTGAATAAACTAACTGATCTGTGAGAAGACACTAACAGCGCATGCTTAAGTGGAGGAAACATCATTACAAAGCCAGGTAAGAATGAAAGCAAGATCCTGATCCTCCCTAGAATTAGGTTATTATCTGAGAATAGAAATAAGGGATTTTGCACACAAAAAATTGAAATCATCATCAAACCCAGATAAGTTAAACTGTTTCAGACAAGCACAGCATGGCAATAATCTGAATTCTGTCCATACAGATCAGGCACGCACTAGTTCAGGATGGTTTGGAAGGCCACATTTTTTGCATGGTTCATCATCATCTGCCAGGATGGCTTCTTCACTTTCCTTTTCTTCCTCCTCTTCTGAAGCTGCAGATGACTTTTCACTGTCAGACCCCTCACTTTCATCATTGCTGGAATATTTCCACCTGCCACGGGTTCGAGAGCCAGTCCATCGAACTTTGCCTTTGGGCTTTACCTTGTATAAAATAAAAGATTAGGACAATTTGATGTAATAGCAATGTAAAAAAAAAAAAAAAACAACACACTTCTGATTACATATGCATTGTGCAATATTTAGTGAATATACAAAGAAGAAAAGAAAAATTACTGTAGTTTCATCAACAGATATACTTACTATTAAATTTTGGTATGTATTTCCATTATTTTTTTCTACTTTTTGGGAGGGGAGAATTATAATGAACATTCTATCTTATTAAATATTTGCCCTAGTGATAAAATATTCTAACATCGTGTGTGAGTATGTGTGTGTGTGTGTGTGTGTATTTTAGATACATGTAATATGCCATCACATAGCTATATCTAATCCACAACTACACAGACATTTAGGTAGTTTTCCATTTTTTCACCTTCATAAACAATGTATCCTTGCAAATATGAAATTTTTACACAAACCTCTGTGGTTAGGATAAATTCCTGGAAGAGGATTCTGGGTCAAAGGTCATGCACTTTTCAAAGGCTCTATAACTGAACACTGACTATATTCTCACACATTGTTATATTAAAAGTTTATTTCTCATATCAGAGAAATGGATCAGAACTGCACAGAAATTTCTGACAAACTCAAAAAATATATTATTCAGAGACTAACGTTATAATGTTGGGAACTGCTTTCTACTGGTCGGCTTCACAATATTTTATGTCATATTTCAGTTCATTCCTACAGTTTAAGTCCTCATCAAAGACCAAAATAACTCAAACAGGAGGAAATTTTTTAAAATAAAAATTTAGTATTTAAAGGAACTAAGGACCACTTACAATTAAGAACAATGTTATCACTTAAATAAATCAAAACCAAAAGGAGCACTTTTTAAAAAAAAGTAGCACTTTAATTATAACAAATTCTCCATAGGCTAGCTAAAGACTTGTACAAGATTTTGCTTAAAATAAGAGGCTCATAGAAGAAGAAAAAACATTCTGGCTCTAAGACTAAAAATTGAAATGGGGAAACAGGCGCTCTCAAACACTGGCAATGAGAGGGTACATTAATGGGGCCTTTTCAGAAAGTAAAGAAGCAAAAGCTACCAAAACTTAAAATACATATGTCCCTTGACCCAGTAATTCCAATTCTAGGATTCTATTCTAAAGAAATACTCACTCATGTCCAAAAGGATCTTCAATGCAGCATTGCCTGTAACAGTGAAAAATTGGAAACAACCTAAATGTCAATCAATCGGGGGGTAGTTAAATAAGCTGAGGCACATCCACACTACGGAACACTATGTGGCCATCAAGAACTGAAAGCAGACTCTATCTACTGATACAGAAAGCGTTCAGACACACGTGGTTAAGTGAAAAACTCACAGAAAAATGAATTTATCTTTTAAGTGCATGGGAAATATTTACACACACAGACATGAATATATGGAAAAAAGAATGAAGGAGATGCAGCCCAAACCGTTAATGGTGTTTGTTTCATTCTTCAAATGTTACAAGTTAGGTATTACTTGTAGAACTTACGAACAGAATGTATTTCTATACTGCCTATAACAGAGAAAAAGTTTAAAAGATGATAAAGTCTGAAATTTAATGTCTGGAGATAACGTAATAAGACATCTCAGATATAGGAAGAAAGGCTTTCGTTGTTGTTGTTGCTGTTTTATCTTTGAATGAGTTGTTTTAGCCAAAAGCAAAAAGCTATGAACACTTAAAAGTCAAATATTTCTAATAAAAACTAAAGCTCAGAGTAGGAGAAATTTTACCTTGGTTACTTTAGAATTTGTATCCTTCTCTGCTTTTTTCAAATTTTCTTTTTTGTCTGTCTTTTGCAAAGCTGCTGACTCTTCTTCTACTTCATCTTCTTCCCCTCTTTTTTTATCAGCTTTCTGATCTCTGATTTCAGCCACTTTTGCTGTGGGTCTAGATATTCTTGGAGACCTCCTCAAAGTACGACCAACATTTTTCTCTTCTTCCTTTTCAGTCTTCTCTTGCTTGGTTTCTGGCTCTAAAATTTTGGGAGGAGAATCTGACTTCTTTTTCCGACTAGATATCCTAATTGTTAATTTGATGCCTTCTTTCTGCCTTTCTGAGGTTATCTCTGTGTTTTCTGAGCCAGTGTTTTCTTCTTCAGGAATCAACTTATATTTCAATTTGCTTTTTTGCATAGAACCCTTTGTCTCAGAAGAATCACTTGTGCCAGAGGTCTGGGCATTGTCCAGATTATCCACTTCTACCTTTGTTGATTCAGAATCTACTTTTAAAATTTCTGGGTCTACTTTCTCCAGGGACTGACCTTCAAGTGAACTTGTATTCTGACACTCAACTTCAGAGGCTAGTTTCTCACAGTGGACAGTCACGTTAGATGACGGATAAGTTTCAGCTGCCTCTGGAGACCCGGCCTTTATTGATTCTACAGTTGTCTTTGGAACCTCCTCCGGTATTGGACTCAATCTTTGTGTGTCCTTATCAAGAAAAGTCTTTTTGGACTTTTCAAGACACTCGAGGACTGGTGGGCGCTTATCCTTCTTACTTTTGGGAGACTTCTCTTCAACTCTCATACTATAGGATTCACTGGTAGATAAAGCAGTTTTTAAAGAGAGATCCTTTCCTATGTCAGCAGTCTCAAGAGAGGTTTCCATTTCTGAAGGACCGGTTTCCTCTATGTGCTCTTTCTGACTCTGGGTCTCTAAGACTGATATTGAATTATCTGTATCTTTCCCTAAAGGGACCACTTCTTTCTCAAGATCACCTATTTTTACACTCGCAATGACAGAATTTACAGACTCTGCTCCGTTTCCCTCCATGATGACACTTCTATCCTTAGAGGGGCTGCAACTATCTTCCTTTGTATCATAAAACTTTGTCTCCATCTGTTCTGTCTTAAAATGTGGAGTTACCTTTTCATCACTAACTTCTCCATTTACCAGCTGTTTCCCTTCATGACCCAAAGCAGTGATTGTAGAGATCCTTTTACAAGTCTCTTCCTCTTGTTTGATTTCATCTTTCAAAAACTCTTTTGTTGGAGTAACTGATTTACACAAAGGTCCTTTGATTGGACTATCAAAATCATCACTCAGTTTAATTTCTCGTTTTTTTAGTGGAATCTTGGCCTGCTGGTCATTTTTAAGTTTCTCGGTTTCTTCAGTAGACTTTTCAGTAATTTCTTGAGAAGATTTAACATTGCCAACAAAGTCTAGCCTCTCAGGCTCTAACTTCTCCATACTACCTTTGATATCTCTAGAATCTGCTTTACATTCTTTCATTTCCACTTTTACAGGTTTGACATTTTCCTTGAAGGAATCACTTTCTTCTTTGATAATCTTTTTTTCTTCGCTTTCTGGCAAAGGTTTTTCTAGCTTCACTATGACTGGCAGTTTTACAAGTTCCTTTTCATCTTCTTTTTCTATTTTCACAGTAGTCTCTTCCAGAGCACTGGGTGTAGAACATTTTTCTGAATCTATTGGCCGCTCTTCACTTTTCGTCTTTGCACTTCCTTTCTGTTCCTCTAAAAATAAGAAAAAGTTTACATGAATCTAAGCATTCAAGATTATAAAATGTATAAGGCATAACATAAAATATATTTCCATTTGAAGTTTCTTTCTTAGAAGAGGTGGCTTTTGTCACGGGACATTTGACAATAAAAGATGAAATCAGACAGTAAAGAAAATACCAAACTCTGAAGTACAACTTTTAGATATTAAAAAACTGTTATTTAGAAAGACAGATTTCTGCTTTATACTTTTAACTTCAATGCTCTCAATGAAATACAAATATTTATACAGCTCAAATAAATTATTCAAGCTCAAGTGATGGCTCAAAGCTATGAAACTAAGAATACATATGAAACTAAGAATAAAACATTTCCAAAAGACCATATTTGTTTTAAAAACTGACAACTGTTCTCTACAAGTTATAGAGCACTTCATTTCATTGAGGAAACATGAAAAAGGCAGTGCGGAAATGTTTTATGCTTTAATCAGGTTACAAAAGTAACAATTCTGTACAGAAAATGGAAAATGTGCCCACAATCTGAATACCTACAATTAGTATTTTATTTGAGAATACTTCTTCTAGTTTTATGTATTTTTGACAAAGTTGGAATCATGCTGCCCCATTTTCCTCACTGAAACATTAGCATTTTCTTACGACATGAGATGTCTTCAGAGAATTGTACTTAACTGTGTTAACACTCCTTAATGTGATTATATTACAATTTACTTTATCAAATGCCATTAATAAACATTTTAGAATTTAATATATTACAAAGAAACTATGTTTTCCTGTTAACTCCTCTTTTTTACTAATTTGCTATATATTTACAACTTTTACAGAGTACCTAACTGTGCAAATTTAAGTATAATGAAAGTCGTATTTAGTAAATAACATAATCTTTGAATGAGATTACAGACAAGGCATATATGTTTTAAACTTGTGCTAAGGAAATCTGAGCCATGTTTTCAGAATTCATTAAGTACTAATTTTACCTATATTTCCCTCACGCTACCCTTGCAATGGGAAAACTTTGATTTTAAATGAAGTTTTACCAAGATAGGAATTAAAAACTTTTTTCTGAACAGATTCCTGCCAAGCTGATAGAGCAGACAGTTTCAAAGTTTTTATGGAAATAAAATGTAATGGAGAGAAGTGAGATAAAGACTTCTTTAAACTAAGAATTCAGTATTACTTTTAAGAAGTATTTTTATTACAAATCACCCATTTTGTTTATGTTCAATCATAACTGCAAGTAAAAAAATTCAAGAACTGCTGAAAACCACTGAGAACCTGAAATTAAGAGTACTGTTCCACCCTCTTTACATGGTCATACACTAATTTAAAAACATGTATGTCACTAGGAAAATTAAAGGCATGGCAGGAATTATCTAGTCTGAATGTCTTGTTTCCCACTTATTAAGTAGGTTCAGTAAATTCCTATGCGTTAACTCTGGTTAGTGTATCAGAAAATCTAAATCAAGAAATATCTTAGATAACGGTTAAAATACAGATTACCATCTTTATCAATAACTTTAGCTTAATACAAAGAGTATACAGAAATATAGAACACAATTTAATATTTTTTAAATATATTTGGTTCAAAAAGCAACTCAGGATCTCACTGAGACTCTCACCAAAGGCAAAATGAACACTGTGCTTTTGGGAAGGTGAATGATTAAGTCCTTTAAACTGATTCTGATCTGAGTAACAACATGACAAAATAAAATGAAGAGTAAGTAGCATTAGGTTGAGACTCCTAGGTTCAGTAATCTTAATTCAGCTTAGTGGTGTATCTCTGAATATCTTACAAACTCAGTGATCCTCACTTCTTCATGTACAACAAAGAAGCTGACTAAGTGACCTCAATAACTATTCTTCACTGACTTGTATTTCTCTTAGTCCCAAAATATTCAATATTTTTTTGGCTTAGCTCTTACAAGAGAAAAACATAACAACAATCACAACTGTAGCTCCTGTAGATCACATGGGTGTACCCCTAAAGCTGAAGACAGGAAAACCACGACATAAAATGAAACTTTAAGCACTATCATAATTGGTAAAAAGGTCATTTAGTTATATAAGCATTTTCATCAAAGTTTTATCAGAAGCAAACTGTAAAGGAAGATGCAAATGAATTTAAGAGACATGAAATTTGAAGTAACAAAACTCAAGGAAAAATTCACCTCCAAAATCACAATGCAGAAGCAATGTTTCTTGACAAACCTGAAGGGATTCAACACAACTGTTAACCTATTCTGAGTTTCTAAAGCACATTCATTCATTTACTCAACAAATATTTACTAATCATCTATTATGTGCTCTCCCACCCGTCCCAACCAGAATCACTATATAATGAAACAATGAATGTTCATGTAAATTACAGTGAAGGACATTGCTAGTTGCCTATCTAGTATCTATTTTCTTTCTTACTACTAAAATTCTGATTTTGTTCAGGAAAGTACTTGCCTCTTCAGAAACCTTAAAGCTAAGGGTCATTTGAACCAGTTCTGGCCAATGAGACGCATAAAGAAATCTATTGGGTAAGACTTACAGGGTTCAGTTGACCTATGCCTTCTGCCCTTTCCCCTTCTTTCTGTCCAGAGTCTGCACACAATACCTGGAAAGGGAACAATCAAAGCCACATGCTAAGGATGGCAGACTAGGAAGGGTACTTGATGGCTTTATGGAGCTGCTTAACCAGACCTAGAGTGCTTACCACATGACTTTTTATTATAAGAAAAAAATTTACCTCACACGTGTCAGAATGGCCATCATCAAAAGGAATACAAATAACAAACGCTGGTGAGGATGTGAAGAAAAGGGAACTCTCATACGCTATTGGTGGCTAAGCAAATTGGTGCAGTCACTCTGGGAAACAGTATGGAGGTTTCTCAAAAAACTAAAAGTAGAAATACCATCTGTGCTCAGTTGTTCAGTCATGTCCAACTCTTTGCAACCCATGAACTGTAGCCCGCCAGGCTCCTCTGTCCATGAGATTATCCTGGCAAGAATACTGGAGTGGGTTGCCATTTCCTCCTCCAGGTGATCTTTCTGACCCGTGGACTGAACCCATGTCTCCTGCATTAGCAGGAGGATTCTTTACCACTGAGCCACCTGGGAGGCCCAGAAATATCTTATGACCCAGCAATTTCACTCCTGGGTATGTATCTGAAAGAAACAAAAGCATTAATCTGAAAAGACTCATGCACCCAATGTTCACAGCAGCACTATTTATAACTGCCAAGATACAGAAGCATCCTAAGTGTCCATCAACAGATGAAATGGATAGAACAGATCATAGTATAACATTGAAAAAAAAAATGCTGTAAATATATGTAATGAATACTTAGCCATAAAAAGAATAAAAGTTTGCCATTTGCAGCAACATGGATGGACTTGGAGGGCATTATGCCAAATGAAGTCAGTCAGACAGAGGAAGACAAATACTGTATGATTATCCCTTACGTTGAATCTTAAAAATAATACAACAGACTACTGAATAAAACAAAGCAGCAGACTTGCAGATAGAACAAGTCAGTGTACCAGTGAAGGGGGGAAAGCAGGGTGGTACAACATAGGGATAGAGCAGAAAAAAAGTGTTATTATAGGATTATATGAAGCCATGTGTGTTAAACTTTTGAAAACTGTAAAGCACTACAGAATTTTAAAAATCTCTCAATTTGTTCTAAAAAAAGAAAAAAAATTCCATTTGAAAAAACATGTAGCCAAACACAACCCTGTCTGATTTCCTTTCCTTTTACTTTTACTTCCTACTACTTTTTCTTTCCCATACTCACCAAAATTAATCTATATCATTTAATATATATTGGGCTTGTCATCTATTCAGCGATAAGGAATAACTAATCTCTGATGCTCTGATTTCTTTATAATTCTTTTCTTGTAAGACAAGACTTGAGAAGTTTTAAAACAGCATAGTGATTTCAGATTCTGCTCAAATGTTATATACTTATAGTGAGTATAAATTAACATAAACACTGTAAAGAGCAAGTTGGAAATATCTACTCTAAAGCCTGAAGAAATATACTCTATACTTTAGCAATTCTACTCAAAGAAAGTAAACTTACATAAAACTGAACAGAAATATGTACATAAATATTTGCTGTAGCACTGATATAAAAGAGAAAAATGAGAAATAATATCTCTCAAACAGAAAAATGAATAATCACTACAGGGCAAACAAAAGAAATGAAATTTATAAAGATCAATATGGATAAATCTCAAAAACAGAAAGATGAGTGAAATAGCAATATGCTAAAGTACAGGTTGTATGATAGCATTTGTAGAAGTTATGAAATGCATAAAATAATGCTATATGTTGATGTGGCTACAAATATATTTAGCAAATTCACATGATTGTGGCACTGCTTAGAAAATAAGGGTAGGAGGAATGGAATGGAAAATGAAGGGAAAGGGAAATGTTTTACTGTTCTATAAGTTTTTAAAAATTAAAAGCAAATTTTAAAAATATTTAAGTATTTCATATTATCATCTGTTTATTTAAAATATTTCATTAAAAATTAAGATTATGAGCCAGAGAAAACTTAAATGCTCTCCTGCTACTTTACATATTGGCCAGCCATGAGACCTTGGGATAATTATCTTAATCTAAGTTTCTTTGGATTCTTTAAAACTGAAGTCAGAATACCTAACTCAAGGAACTGCGATGAAGGTTTTTTAAAAAATGGAGCCTGAAAACCACTTTACACAGTATAGTTTGGGAGCCATTATGATGATAATAATACATTATTTGCCTCCTTCTTACCACAATCTTTAGTCACATCAGAAAAGTCCCTTAAGCAATCATCATTTTTAACCAGTCAACATTGCCTAGAGGGCCATTTCTATTTTTCTTTACCTTCTCATTCATATTTTCCCATTTTGAAAAATGATTAAAATGTCAATTAACTAACTCCTAGGGTTGTTAATGATTACAGAAGGGTGCACTCAATGTTGGCATTGCTATTGTTACTTATTATTATATATGTTACTTGG